GGGGGAGGTTAGGCTTAGTTGGCTAATTTTGCTCTTGGCGTTAATTCTGCTCAGTGTTTTCTTCAATTCTTGAATGTGCTAATTATTCATTTCCTAACTTTTTTGCTATTAAAAATACCATCTGAATCAACAAGAATTAGATCTATCAGAATTATGCTTACCTAAAAAATATCATCTCAGGGATATAACACTTAACTCATCAGTTGTGTATTTTTAAAAATTTCAGATTAATTCTTTGGAAATTCTCAAAAAAGTCTTAACTGAAAATAAATTTTAAATAAAATGTTCAACCTTATTGGAAGTTTTACTATGAAATTCAATGATTTTTCCACTTTCGATTTATGAAAATTGCATTGAATGATCATTTCTCATTTCAACTTATCTTCTTTTAAATAGGCAATTTCATATGAATCATTCCATATGTTTATATTCGGTTCCTTTAGCACTTTCAAAAATATGTTTGCTTTAATATCTCATAATGGTATGTCAAGAATGTCATTTTGTAAGGAATGATTCACTGTACGAATAGAACTTTCTTTTCATACAGTTTTTCCGTCCTCAATCAAGGAAATGAAAAAAGGGGAGAGAGAAGAATGATAAAGTATCACTTATAGTTGATATTTGCGCCATTTAATGTTTGCGAGTTATCCACTATAAGTCTGTTCTCTTTTAAGTGTATTTACTTATATTTCTTAAATTGGAAAAGCGATTTAAATATGTCACAGTTAACGTATGCAAGTGTCTCGCATATTTCATGTTGATTTGACAAAATTTTTTTTAACTTAGTGATATTTACCGATTAAACTCATCGAAATTCGTTTCATGAAGAATGGTTTTGTGATAGGAAGTTAGCTAAGATTAATATTTATTTTTTGTGATTAGTGAAGTTGAAAAGTTAGAAGTGGGAGCAATTTATTCACCCCCAAACAAAATTAAAAAATTATTTCATTTCCATTCTATCTTGTTCATTCATCTCTTTGCTTAATTGTTTTCCCTTATTCTGATCGACAAGATTAAGGTTAATGAGAGTTGACTTAGCTAAACATTGTAGAAAATAATATGAGATTGATTGTACCATCTAAAACGATTAATATTATATTTTCCAAGAATTTTTGAAAATATTGAGTAAATCGAAACTTTGTAAGCTGTACACTTAAGTTATTCATGCATGTATTAAATGCAAACATCCTGTTAACAATGTATATTTTAAAAACATGGAAATAACATTACTGGAAATCGTGTAGCCTTAAACAAATTTAAAGAGAACTTGAATTATAATGTTGTATAAGACATGTCATGGCAGTGTATTCAAATCGGTTTGAAAGTTTTTTGTAACTTGAAAAGATAGTTTTTTGCCTGATATTGTGTTTAAAATAAAATTTATGGTGGGGAAGTAAAAGTGTGGGCAAAAATTTTTTCCTAAAGATAGTAACTGAAACTGTAGCAGCAGACTGAATGTCAACATCGTTAACATAAAGTTTGCTACTATAGGTTATTAATTTTAGTTCTGAAACCATTATTGACTGCTTAATAATACTGTAATCAAATCAGCTTACAAATACGGAATTTTGCTGCACCTCAGTTATCTTTTTCATCTCTGTTTATCGAAATTTGCTAAAAGATTTTTTAAAGACTAAACGAATGAAAAGCCAATGGGGGAAGCATTTATTCTTACTTTTCAGAAATTTTGAAAATTCGCCTTTATTTAAATAAAATTTGTTTCTATGCATTTAATCGGCATGTTTAATATTTACCTTTGCAGGCATTATTAAACAGTTCAAGGATTGAACGAATATGAGCCAAATTTGCCGCATATCTTTAAACTATTTAGCTTTATTTTAGTATTTTTTAAACTTCGTATTTTGAAAAATTGTACTTCGAAACTTTTTAACACTAAACATATCCACACACACACACACACACACATACAGACATATATATATATATATACTTAGTATGTACATCTTACACTAGACACTTTTCAAATTTAAGCTGACCTAAAAATTTATCGATCAGCTCTCACGAACTGATTTGTTGAAATTTCTTTTAAATTTATTTATTAAACCAGCAAATTTTCAAGAAAGAATAGTGGAAAAAATAGTTGTTTTCTGATGCTGTGAACCGTGCAGGGATCGCTGATGAATTATAGAAGTTGAGATAAATTCCTTTTAA